TGGACACAATCCTGTGCCATGTGCTCTGGGATGACCCTGATGGATCAGGGAGGTTGGACCAGATGAACCACTGCGGTCGCTTTCAAACTGACCCATTCTGTGATTCTGTTAAGATCTGACTGATCCAAGTTACTTTCTGAACTGGACCACACAAGGCATTTCTGACAGCCAGATTTGAAATGCCAGGTGTAGGAGGAACAAGGAGTGTGGCCCTGCCCACAACACAGAAAAAGACAAACTGTGTCCTGGAAAGCAGCACCTTCAAAAGGGTATGGGGCTGCCATGGCAAAACCACATGGCATCAGCGCTGCTGCTCCAAAAGAGGCCAGTGTGTTCTTTACCTGTACAAATGAGGGATCGCAAGCACATGTAGAGGTGGCATTACCTCTGAACAGCATTCCCAATCATATTTTCCAAGATACTGAAGAATGAGAGACTGCAGAAGAAACCCACAAAACTAATCTGAAGGCTGAAGATAATGCCGGGCAGCAAGAGTGTTAAAATATTTAGCTCCTCAAAAAGACATTTCAGATGGTAGCTTATGAGAAAAAACCCGAGGTGCTGGTAATTTTACTGTGGGGGCACCCATGGTAACCCCAATAAGCTGTACCAAAGTAGCCGCCAAAGAGCGTTATCTATGGCTGGGAATGTCACACGTGGAGAGATAACTGTCTTACATCAACGGCGTGAGCATTGAAGTGCCTGGTGGTATTAACTATGTTAAGTATAACATAGGTTTCGCAGTGGTGATCTGCAAGCCATTGTTATGAGCACATCAATCAAAAATGTCAGCAGAAACATTCAGTAGATATGTTTTTCTCTCCCAACCTGAAGCTGCTTGCTTCTTCCACCCCAAGTGTCCAATATTGCAGCTATTCCCTGCATAGAGGCCAAAGTGCTTAGCTTTGCTACACACAACCTCTACAATTTCATATAATTAAATACAAAAGGATATCCTCCTCCCACCAGAAAGGAAAATGGAGGGAGAAACCAAAATACATTTATAAATTAATAAGGATTTGCTGTTTTCTGTGCAAACTCTAATTGATTTTCATATGTAATTCATAATGACAAAGCAAATATGAATTTAGCTGCAAAATTACAGTGCCAGAATATTCTAGAACATTTTCTACACTATGCAAGCATTTCACAAGATGTCTTCCAATGTGTCTGTAAGGAGCACAAAGACAATCCATGTATGTGTTCGGAAAGAAGCAACAGGCCGATACACAAGTGGCACAATGTTCTCTGCAGAACATTGGCGATAACTGCCTTGTTTGGTGTCAGAAGAGCAGAGGAACTGGAGACAAGGCCCTCAGGGTGAGAAGAGAAACAGCAATAAGTGACATTAGTCTTCTTTCACTGTCACTTCACCAACTTGGTAGCTGAAGATTGGTTCCAAAACCAAAGGTGAGAATGCTGTATGCACCTCAGCCAGCAGCAAGTGTACAGTGTCTTTTCTCCAGTGGAGAATCCTCTTAATCACATTCTCTTCCCTACATTTTGCCGCTATGATGAGGCCTATATCTGGAAATAAAGGAATTTTCTTTCTAAGAAGAAATGTCAAAAGTTTGGGCAGCATTTTATGATTTTGTCTTTGTGTCTGAAATCTGAGACAAGAAACTGAGCTATGACTCCACTGTTGTTGGATCTATTCCTCAGCAGGTCCAGCACTAGCACTCTCTTCCTCTAGATATGAACCCAAGAGTTTTGAAATAGTACTTACAGTCAATTGGATTTAGGTCCTGCTTCACAGGACAGCTCACAATGGATTCTGGTGCTTCCCAGTTTGTCTCAGTAGAGCAAATGCTTTTGATATCAGGAACATAAAGATTTTTGCTCCCATCAGTAGCTTCCTTCTGGGAAGTATTTAGCTCACAGCTGTTCTACTTTAACTGTTCTGCCTTCTGCTCCTTCCACTCATTTGTTCAGATGATTTATCCATTCCTAGCCACTGAAATTCTTCAGCTCTTCTTTCTTCTCACAAAGGTTATGGCTCTCCTCAGTCTCATACTTCTCATGCAGGCTTCTAGCAGTTTTTTTTATTTAGGAAAACAGGAATCAGATCACACTGAAATAGAATGGCAGCAGTGTTCATTGTGTTAACATATATGCTGGGAGCTAGAGCAATTCAAAATCAGACTTTTCCCCCTTTTCAGCACAGCTTCAGTGTTATCTTAATTCATGCTTCTCATCTTAACCTACTATTCCAGTTCTTGATTTTGGAAGGTGCTTTCAAGGAAGGTAATTAGTAGATTTCAGAGGTTTCCATTCAATGTAGATGCTTTTATCCCAGCAGATTCATTCTCATGCAACATAATAATTTGGTATTAAATCCTTAATTTACTGATTTTAAGGTAGTAGATTGTCATGATTTTAAACCCACCTGGAGATGAAACACCATGCAGCTGCTGCTCCCTCAACCCACTTTCTTCACCCCCACCCCAGTGGAATGTGGAGGAGAATCAAAGTAAAACTTGCATGTTGAGATAATAACAGTTTAATAATTGAAAATAAAGTACAGTAATAATGGCAAATAATAAAAAGGGAAAAAAACCAAGTGATGCACAATGGAATTGGCTGAATAATGCCAGACCCCCTGCCTCCCAAATTTAGATGGGCCCTTCTGGGTACCTCCCCCCGTTCAGAGACTGGGAATGAAACTCTATGGTGTGGAATATCCCTCTGGTCAGCTTTGGTTACCTGTCCCAGCTCTGCTCCCTCCCAGCTTCCTTTGTGAACCTCCTCACTGGCAGAGCATGACACAAAGGAAAAAACATCCCATTTGTGAGCTGTGTGCTTTTTAGAACAGTATATGAACTTCAACCAGCTAAACTCCTTACAGCCTAGCTCTGCTAAGTGTTTGGACATTCTGCCATCTCCCTGTCACCTCCTTTATTGTCTTTTTTATTCATTACAATTCAAGGCACCAAAACTAATTTTAGAACCAGCAGCTAAAACTTTTGACATAATTGGAGAGCTGCTTGTGGCATATTTACAAGTACTGTCTACAGAAACCTCAACAGACTTTACTGGAGAAGAGTTCAAATGCACACACACCAGACATAAGCAACACACCTGTCACCTGTGCACAGTTTCAGCAAAATCAGTCTAAATCTGTGGTTTTGACTTGTTTTACTTTTTAAGGCTGAGATCCACAAAACAAAACAAATTAAAAGTTTTCAATTTCACCTATTTTTTAAATAGATAACATATTTTTCATTATTTAATATTTCTTGATTGCAACATATAAAAAACAAATATTTCAGGCTTATGCAGCTTAAGGGTAGCGCAGTTTGCTCCAACTCTCTCTTTAACTTTGAAAAAACATACTGAACATGAAAAATTTAAACTAGAAAGAATTTAATGAAGTTGTGATCAATGAAAGTAGAGAGTTGAATTTAAATTTTAATATCAATCTTCATTGTAGTGACTGTTCTATTTCAGTATATGGTAATTGCATATTTTGCAACTAAAATGATACCTATTATATAAAATATTTTTATAATAACTTAAGAAAAGTCTTAATAATTCCTTTACATAACGACAACTTCTGAATTGGTCTCCAGAAGTCAGGCCCAAATATAAAAGAAATACACTGTGTCTAGAGAGGGGTTCAGAAACTTCATCTCTCAATACATAACTGCTGACTGTGGGATGCTCTATCCAGCTTTTTAACGTTGCCTGTTTCATGGAGCAATGAATTTGCTATGAAGTGACCACATTCAGAAACATACTATGTAAGCATCTACAAACTGAGAAAATCATACTGAATGGACTCAATACCAACACAGTCTGCACTCTTTCCTGTTCCTTGTGCTGCCTCACCTGTACCTAACTCCAGCTGGGAATCCAGAGACTGGAGGAAGGGTGGGGAGTCTGATACCACTTTTTGCTACCATGGAATTATGGTACCATGGATACCCTTTGTATCTTCACAGCTTCTAGGTAGTCATGTCCCCCATGAAATACTAAATGAGGTTTTTATAAACTTATCTATTCTTTTTCTTTAAAACTTTTCCAGCATATTAAAATATACCTCCTTGGCAGAAACCAGCAGTATTTCTGAGGGCAGCTCAGCTGGCAGAGCTGGAACAAGCTGTAGGCATACAGCAACCTCTTGTGGCAAATCCACTACACATGTAATAATTAATAACCTTTGAAACTGCATAAGAGTCTCTTGATATGAGGTATAAACCTCTATAAAACTGCTTTAATGAACAACCAGAGAGTTGGAGAGTTTCTGTTAGCTGAACACTCAACAATACTCTGTTGTCATCTTATTGCAAAAGTTCCATACCTTTTTGGTGATTTCTCATGGTCAGCTCCTCACAGCACTGACTCCTTCACAGCACAGCCAACAAACTCCAGCTCTCCTCTCAACCAGCTAACCCACCCTTTTGTAGCACTCATGCTTATTGGACACAGCTGTGGCCTATTAAGGGCAGGCTTGTTCCTAATCTTTGGTGATTAGCACAGCTGCAGCTCCTCAGGGGTGAGATTACCTTCTGCACTACCTTTATTTTCTCACATCCTATCCCCCCACAATACTCAGACTTCAGAGCTGTAGTAGTTCTCCTCTTCAATTCTGGAATTAATTAAACATTGGTAGCCCATTATAAATGCAGTATCGGACCAAAAATTCTGCCAATAATAGAATCTAGAAGTTTTTAATTAAAATTGAGCAAGAGTGGCATAATGGCCACAAGTAGAATCTGTGGCCATGTATGACAAGAACCATGAACATACTATAAAAATACACATTCCTCCAGCCGTCTGACGAGCTGGCTGTCCTGTGCAGGCCGAGGAGGAAAGGGCAGCGAGAAGGTGCAAGGAGGGAAGAGGAGGAATGACAACATGTGAAAACAAGGGTATTCAACAAGAGCAAGATTTTCCAAAACAAGAGTTGCCTTCCTGGGAACACGCTGTGGGAAATGCACCCAACAGGAACAATACTAGTATGGCAGGTGAGACTGATTAGACCACTGAATTTGGGTTGGTTTTTTTTTTTTTTTACATTGTAGAAATAAAGTCTTCTATCCTGGAATTAAAGGCAAACTCAGGAAATTATCTGACTTATGTATGCATCACTTACCAGGACTTTTGGGGCTGATATGGCAGGCAGAGGTTACTGTATTAGAAATTATTTGCAGATTTATGCATACCACTTAGAGAGGAACAGGCTGAACAAGTACATCCTGGAACGCACAAAGGCTCTGAACAACAGCTAGTATTTGTTTATTAAAATTAAGTCTTGTGCTGTAGCTCTGTTTTATTGCAACTTCCCAGTCTCACCATGTGTAATTTCTTTGCCATTTCATGTGTTGCAGTTTCACACAAAATTGAGGAATGCCTTCATCTCAATTTGGGCCTTGGTCTGTTCCCTGACCAGCATATCGGGTAGCTCCTGCTAGACCAGTGACAAGCTGCACAGTCCTGAATTCCCAAGCAGCTCTGTCCAGCACCACCCCACCTAGGAGCACTAAGTACTTAAGGGTAGAGTCTCTTCCCTGCCCCAGAGGAAACTCTCCCTGCAGAGAAGTCCAACAGATCACGTGTGTCTCAGGCCATCAAACAGCACATGTGACATTACCAAGCTGACAAAGACAATGAACCAACCAACTTGTACTGAAATCTCTTTTCACAGCTTTCATTGTCCCTTGGCTTCCCATCTCTGTAAGGTGTTTTGAGGGCCACAGCTAGTAACAACTGCATATTAACCAACATTGTGTCCTCCTATATGGTGAAGCAAAGATCAGGAGCAGAAACACTTTCCTGAAATCATGTCATTCTCACTGAATGCCTACACTGTTTGAAATAGTCCATGAAAATCCTGAAAACAGTCTTCCTGCAGAGGTTTGATTTTTCTAGCAAATCTACTGCATTTGTTCTTTATGTGCTGAATTTGGTGGCAATTCATATTTAAATAATGAAAGCTACGTATTACAGCTTGAACTAAATAAAACAAACTCCCTGCAACAGAAGGCACAACAGCCTCATCACAGTATCATCAATGATGGTGCAAACACAAACGGGACACCACCTGACTGAGCAGGACATGGAACAGAACACTTGCCAGGATTTCCTGATCTGCAAGATTCATCTTCTAGCAGAAGAGGAGATTGCACCTGCTCTACATTTGGCAAACCCACAAAACAAAGTTTATCAAAACTAGCCCTCCTAGGTTCTTGTCTGGACCTGTTTTAATACGTGAAGGTTTTACCCAGGCAGCAGCTGGAAGATCCTTTCCATGCCAGCCTGCTCTCTGGCAGGCCATGGGGCACTCCCTCAGCACCCTGCAGCCGTGTTCCACACAGAGGGAGCCCCGGTGCTGCTGCAGGGCGCACCTGCATCTGTTGGGTTGGGTGGGCTGATGCAGCTCAGACATGTGGGCTGAGCCCATGCTGCAGAACTCCTGTTTGCACACAGACATGGCCTTGCCAGAAACCCGAGTTACTCAATGTACTTAATTCATCTCTGTGGGACTGCACTTGCCAAGTGTGCACTGCACAGAGCAGTGCCTAGGGCTTTCTGACAGAACTGTTCCATCCTTAGCAATGCCTGTATGACTGCCTGGTTTGTGCCACAAAGGGATTTACTACAGTTCCCTTCTACACCAAGCACATCCCTCCTCCCTGAACGTACTGCCTTAAACAGTTAAATAACATTCATACAAAGCGATGTTTATAAAGGCCTGAAGAATCAGACCCCTACAACTTTTCCCTAGTTATTGATTTTCTTCAGAAACAAAAAACATAAAGATTAGAATTCTAAAGATTTTACAAACATTCTTTGTATAGGGAGCATGTACTGGCCATCAATACATTGGAGTGCACTGTGCTAATTTTGGCTTTGAGAGCATGGACAGGCATTTGACACATGGACAGCTTTGACTCAAGTCCTGTTTGTTCACTGACATTCATATCAGTATTCACTGCCCTAGAGCCAGCCTGGGGAACAGAAGTGTGCTGTAAACAATAGAAAAGCAGACTGGTTTCCAAATCCCATACCTACAACTTCAACATCCATAAAGTACATTGCTGCTGTTGTCCAGGAAAACACTGATAGTATTTCACAAGTGGTATCAGTCAGTTATGGAACCAGAGATAAAAAACAGTTGTCTTCAATGGAGAAGCAGTATTTTAATTTTTCCTATTTATTCAAGCTGTAACCATAATATTTATTGCACATGCTACTTATCACCACCTCCTGTGATCATAATTTAATCCTTCATCAACACAAGGGTATTTACATTTGATGGGTGGATGAAAAGATGCAGACATTAGTGTCAAATGGCAACACTAGCTCTGGGTAACCTTCCCAGGATCCCTTCATTTTAGAGGGAGTATCTCATATATTTGCAATAGCTTTCCACTGCAGTCATGTGGAAAGTGCACTTTGAAAAGAATCCTCATTGACTGTATAACCATTTTTTGAGTGTCACCTTTCACATTAAGCATGAAGTTAAGTATACAATTTTAGTGTACAATTTCACTACTCTGGTTATGCATGGAGCTGAAGCATATTTAGAACATGGGTAGGATTAGGATAGGTATAGTTGGGTTCCTCTCTTGAAAGAAACAACCCAAGAAAAAATTCAGATATGCTGCAAAATGATGGATGGATCTACACATGGGAAAGCTACTCAGACTTCAATGTTTCATAGTACAACAGAATCAAGTGCAAAAGGCTCAAATTTTTTTGCCATCAAAAGGTGGGATTGTTGGTATAATATTACCCTGGTTAAACCTGTTTTTGTTATATGACTTTGGGACCATCATAATGTGGGACTAACATTTAAACTCAAAACAATTACATCTGCCCCAGTCAAAGAGGATGAGAAAATTCAATCCCCACAAATTTTTGAAATTAGACCATGTGATCAAAAATGCAGATCAGCAACAAATGTTGTTTAATCCACCTTGGTTTCTTAAATGTATAGAACTAGTAATGCAGATTAATATTTCTACACTTAAACCAATGTGGTCACCATCCTTAAGTGCTTTCCCTGCAAGACAGCTTGGCTACATGGGCAAAACACCACAAGGAATAAGAAGATTTGTGACTGGAACCACAGGGAGTTTTAAGTGAAACTTAGACTTTTTGGCATTGAGTAATTACTACATACCACTAACACCAGGTTAGACAGAAGCCATGATATTGTAATAAATCCTGAGTACATTTAGTAACTCTTCTCATATTTTATTGTCAGTAACAGAAACACAGCAAGATACAAGGCACACAACTTTTGAGCACTTCACCACAGTGTGCTACGTGCCATATAGAATCGAAACTCACTTTTAAGTAAACATAAGTGTTTTACTGATTATCTTAACATTTCCGTGGCTGTTGAATAATGTAAATTCTTTTAGGCAGTATGAACTTCTCCAAGGTAGGTTGTGGCTTTTGGTGAGCCACTTGTAATGTTGCTGCATGGATTTTGTGGCTCATCTGTAACATTAAAGGGGGGAGAAAAAAGTTGTGATAGAATACAGATTTTCAGCTATTCTCTTTCTAAATTTTATCCTATTAAAGTAGTTTAAAAGGAGCAGTAAAACCTAAACCCACAAAAAGTTCAAGTGATCAATACACAGAACTCATGGTAACTTGGTATATTTAGTTATAATTTCTGTTTTCAAAGTCATATTAGTCTGACTACCTTTAGGGAATTTTTGATTTTTTTTTCTTCCCTTGTTTAGTAGCTCAGAGAATGAGCTTCCAAGATGAAGAAAACACAGCAAATAATCAGTATGTCAGAGTTAACAGTAAGTTGAATCAAATTCTTATTTTCCCAGGTTCAAAATCATAATTATTACAGTAACTAACTATCACATTCTAAAGTAGCAAGGAAGTTTCATATACAAGATTGTGGAAACCAGGAGGAGAAGGAAATGGTGGGTCAGAACAGGGGGGATGAGGACAGGTGGAAGAGAAGGAGGATGAGTTGTATCTGTTCTTCATTAAAAAGTCTAAACAAAAATTCAAGATTTACAGGCTAAATCTATAAATACAACTGTTGATAAAAGGCTTATTTTGAAATTATGCAACTGATGTTTTCCTGAGCTCTAGGGATGAGGAACTCTTGTATGCTTCAGAGTCTGAACATTGCAATGGTATAACAAAGAGATGACAGCTGTCAGATCTTCACATTACTATGCAAACCAAAGAGCTGCTTGTGAAATCAGCTCTTCCAAAGGGCAGGTGTAAGTCTGCACCAACAGCCTAATACGGAGCTGTAAGCATGTGATAAACAGAACAGGACAGGAGCTGTAAGCATGTGACAAACAGAAGGGTCTATCAGCAGCTGTGGGATACAAGATTTTACAGGATCCCATAGTATTCCTAGGGGAGAAGTCAAAAGGTGCTTGACTGAGTGATTTCAGGCCTCAGCTGAAGCAGCAGTAGGACATGCTGTGGCTGTTGTCTCGGGGATCATTCCCAAAGCAGGACACTGGATCACCATCCTGGTGTCCCCTGCACCTGCCAGTCACGCCACCCACCTCCCTCAAGCAGCTCTGATTTCTGCTGGACCCTTATAGAAGCTGAAGTGATTTCCACGGTGGGATAAAGCACTGAAGACAAGGTTTTGCTCTGCACTGTAATCCCAGCTTGGCCAGACACTGAGATGCCACTGGTAATTGTCCCCCGTATTTCACTAGAGCTAGTGCACTGTGCCACGTTACCAGCAGGACACAGCTGCCTGGCTGTGCTTCTCTGCACAGGTGAGCAGAACTACCCAGGGCGCGTTGCAGTAACCAGGAGTGCAATCAGTAAGGAGAGAAGCCCAGGTACTTTTTAGCCATCGAGCAGCTCAGCCACACAACCACTACAGAAATAGGTTATCCCAAGAACATTTAGTGCCAGATGAAACACCAGCAACTACCAGACACCCGTTTAAGGAAATTTCGCTTTTTAGCATTTTTTTCCTGTTTAGATTTATAAAGAAACCCTGACTTTTCTTTCAGACTTACTTTGTTCAGTGCTTCTGCTACCAAGACTCCCATGTTCTGAGGTTTTGTAAAACTGACAATAGCACTGTAAAGCAGAAAAAAAAATATTTAGCGTTTCCATCTCACAAAAACACACAAGCATTTGTCACTTTCATTTTCCAGACTTAATACAAAACATTTTGCAATATAAATCTAGGATTTGGAGCTAAATCTTTTCATCACGTTAAAAACTATGTCATATCAAAAAAGGCATGCTGTTTCAGAATGGAACAGCAGAAAATCTATGACAGGCTCATATTTTTATTCAGATATACAAGAAACTGTATATGAAATATCCTTGAATATCTCAAAAGGATTTTTTTTTTTGTACACTGTGAAATAACTTCTCAGAAGCTGAGCAGTTATATCCTAACCCACAAAACATTTTCTTGATTCCAATCTAGACCCATGAAAAAAAATTTACCCTCTGCTTTTGGAGAGTGTTTCCTTTCACAGCAACTATTTGTCAGGCAAGAACTTTTTTTCACAAGATTACCCTATTAACTTCTCCACATTCCAATGAATATGTTACCATGTTATTATTCCATGTTACCAATATTCCACACATAAACAAATCTGTGGATATGAAACTATTTACTTCAGCAACAGGAAGAACTTCAGATGGTACATTCTTCTGACGGTACCATTATATCCACTGACACATCTGTAGCTTAAAATGGAGTAGGGAAAAATCATTATTAAACCCCAAATACCATAAATGTGACTCTTGAAAAAACAGATATTGCTTAAGTTAATGATTCTGTGGATTAGGCAAGGCATTTCCTACCGACATTTCAATTCAGCAGTGGACAGTTTGCTACACTGACAAATATGTTATTTAAGATCTGTTTATACCATTAGGTAACTATGTCTATGGAGAAGACAGCTGCAAAATTACACCCAGACAATTGGCAACAAGTGAAAATAAAAAGCTTCTAATCCCAGAAGAAAACAACAAAAAAAAAATCAAAAATTTCAGGAACATTACAAGTCATTCAAATTTTACTGTCGTATCCTTATTTTGGTTAACTTAACTTTTTGTTAAGTGACATTTAAGAAAAGTGCAGGTATTTAGGAAAAATGTTCAGTCTTTGAAAAAGCTGCAAGAAAATACTTGTTTTAATGATCACATCAACTGGTGGCTGTTATTTTAATCAAAATAGAAGTATGCCTTCATTTTTAGGGCAATACAGCTTGGTTAACCTTATAAAGTAGCAAAACAGCAAAAGCCAAATTAGATCTTAGATTGAAATAGGGGGTATAGCCTATACAGGAGAAAAGACTCTTCCTCAGGGGAGTTGATGTGGGTTTAATTTCCTTGAGAATGTGAACAGCCTAAAGTTCATTCCTATTTCACTGGAAACTATTTGACCATTCCTTTATTAGGCACAGGTATGTAATACATTGTTTTAGTTTCTGGTCCATAAAACATGACAATAGATTGCGAGGCACTATCCTTGGGTTTTGAAGTTGTTGGGTTTTGGGGTTTTTTAAGTCAATACTTATTTCAATATCAGTATTACTTTATCTACAAATTTTACAAGATAATTTAAGAACTAAACTCTTGCAGAATAAGAGTTTTCTTTGTTTTCAAGGATCATTACCTATGAACTTGAGCTACAGGACAGGGGGGAACAGGCCCTGCATTGTAATACCTTGACTTTTCTTTTCCTGGAAGTTTAGCATTTTTCTCAACAGGTCCATTTTCTTGCTTTTTAGACACTCTCATACCTCCAGCTTTAACTGCAAGAAGAAAGTGAAATGTAAGTAAAAATACCTACAGAACTACATACCTCATTACACACACAAGAAGAGAATAATTTTACCCAGGATAACCATTAACCAGAAATCATCTTTCAGTATTTTGCTCCATGCTTTACTTGTACACACACTTACACAGGAGTAGCCAAAGAGATACAGCAAAGGCTTCAAAATTCTGTGTCACAGCAGACTCAAATCAACTTCCAGATACCATAAATCAGGAAATCAAGAGTGGTTTCAGGCACCACTAAATGTATTAAATCTCAACACCTTACTATGTTATTATGCATTCTTCCCCAGAAACTATTACATCTCCGATTTGTATTTTAAAAACAAAAAAGAAAAACGAACACCATCTGAACACTTTCAGGTTTTTGAACAATGTGACTTACAGCAATAAGGGCTTCATGATCAGTTCAGGATATCCCAGAATAAATTTAATAATGCAGATAACAACCAGATGCATACTCATCTTGTACTTGTGTTCCAACATGTTTAATTATATTTTATTAACATATCTGCCAATCACAAAACCAATTAGTACTAATTAAGCTACAGGCAACCTAACAACAACAATTTAAGTTCTGAGGCATATCTGAAAATTGAATTCTGAGCAAAGAATACATAAAGTTGTCTAAAAGATTCTCTTGAAAGACTTTCTCCCTCTTCAGGAGAGCATTTTAAGTTTTAAAACGGTAAGTAAGAAAGAAAAACCTTAGTGTTCTTTTCTCATCCTATTTAGCAGGTTGCTTCACCTCTCAGCAAGACTCCTATTCTGATAGTGAACAATCAAGGCTAGAGTTTTAATTTGAGGGAAGGAGAGAGTAGGGAAAGGTTTCTAGAATTACTTAACCAGCAAGCATGAGAAATGCATTTGTATCCATCTGTAACTAATGCCCGTTTTCTACCAAATCTGACTCCTGACCATGTATTTCCTGGTTGCAGGTTTAATTTTAGAAACAAAAATTCTCCCTCAGTCATGTCCACGGCAGCTTTATAAGATCAGAGTTATGCTATAGCTAGACTTGGCTTTTCTCTCTTCCTAAAATGACATACATACAGTTAATTATACTGCTGCATAAGCAGCAAATTCTTTGCCCAGCCATCTTACAGCTGCAAATACACTGGAGACCTAGACTGAACCTCGTCCTTCTGGCAGCCTAACTGCAAAATTAAAAGTATCTGAAATGGAAATTTCAACCGTTTGTTTCCAAGTATCTACCAGCAAAGAGAACTGAGACTCTAAATACCCTCAGCTTACAAGGTGTGAAACTCTTCCTTGTCTTTGAGGCGTCTTCAAACTAAAATGACAAAGCATGTTAAAAAAAACCCAAACCAAACAACCACAAACCAAATATCAACAACAAACCAGACCACACACAAAAAAAGCACCCTGGCATCTTTCAAGATCTCAGAAATCTTCTCAACATAATTTCTCTTTTTATATAAATTCATCCAGAACACAACACAGGTTATCCCAAGTGTTCTCCCACACACTGATAGGCTCTTGTCTCTTTAGGAACCAGTCAAACCACAAACAGGAAAACCACTAAAATTTTGGAATTCGGTAAAAAAAAAAATGTAACTGAACCTAGACCTGCAGCTTTTGGTTTGGGACCTTCCCTCAAATGCAGGATTGGCAATTTCTAGATACAAGCATTGTTTTTAGTTCTAATTTAGCAGGGCAAGGAGATCCAGACAGAAGCAGACATTTTAACACTATGAGGTTTTACACAAAACACAAGGGGAACTAGACAAGGAGGAGAGAAATACCCAGCGTGGGAAGAGATACTGAAACATGGACAGTCTGGAATTATGTCTATTACCACTAGGCCCACAAAACAATGTTATCTATAGTGATTAAACATAACCCGTGTTCCTTTCCATCTCTGCACTGACTTGGAACTAGCCACTAGGAACAGCTGTCCCACCTGTTCACACACACCCATGGTGGGGGAAGAGTTAAACATAGATGCATCTGGGATGCACCACAAAGCTGTTTTGAAATTTGCTTTCCAAAGCAATAGAGAGGTATGGCAAACTTTTAATACAGAGTTCAATTTTGTGATTTTTATAAGTGACCTGTTAGCCATGTAATCCAACAGCTAAGTGACAAAATCTTCACTGATTTCCATTTTTAAAAGACCATGCATTTTTAAAATAAAACAAGAAAGTAAGGAGGTACACTCCTTTTTATGCTCTCCTCTCAAAAAACAAAAAAAAAAAACCCAACAAAAAACTAACCAACAGCAACAAAACAACATAAAAACAATCTTGGCTGAACACTGGTGAGAATAAACCACTTATTCTGCTACCTCCACCCCTCGGCCAAGCTAGTCCCCACTGCAGTCACACATAAGCTTCACCAAGACTTGCTTGGAGACTTGCAAGTCTACAAGTTGCAGAATACTATCATGCAAGTTCAGAAAGACCAGTACCTGCTGCAGGTCACTGACTGCAGCAGCTTAAAGCCCCTTTCAGGTACAGCTCAACTGTCCCTGCCACACACACTAAAGTCCAGGAATGGACTAGAGACAGGATGAAAAATTTATTTGCATCCCAAATTCATGTAAAAGTATGCTAAAAAACCCTCCAAACAAAAATATTTCCAAGAAAACAAAACCATTCATGGGGTACAGGGAGACAGACAAGTATGTGCTCCTCAGGCACTAACTGCTCCTAATAAACCGAGGGGAAGTCCCAAGTAGTTTAAAGCCTTGTAGTGACGGTTCCTCAAGTATCAAAGGCTGAGCCTGCAGTGGCTGTCCCTGCAGTGACTATCTCCTAGCTCCAAAGGCTGAGCCTGCAGCATCTCTGCGTGTGCCCCCGAACAGGCACACAGGGACGCTGCTCACTCACGGGTGTGGCATGGCCCAGGAGCTGCTCACATTGTATGCATTTACACGCTCCCCTAACAAACACAGGCGCTACTACACTCGCCACTACGTCCTTAAAATCGCAATACTACATTCTTAGAGCCGCCACACAGACAGAGCGGCGGCTGGAACAGCACGCTCGAAGGCTTCCTCACAGAGCGATCTATCTCGGGGGCGGGGGGGCCTTGGTGGAGGGGAAGTAAGTTCTTCACCTTACTACAGGAGGCGGGGGATACGGCTGCAACATTAAACACGGACACCCATTTCTCTCGCTACATCTCAATAACGCCCGAACACCGAGCGGCGCCAGCC